TGTTACTAAATAAACGAACAGTCAGAGCAGTTTCTGTTTCAAGGTATATGCTTCCTCTTCTTTTTCCAATCTTATTTTGCTCACCATGAAAACAAAAGGGGCAAATTAAGGAGATGGCCTGTAGCCTTTTTTGGCTGGCTGGGTTTGTGCTTCATTGACACATCAATTCTCTGCAAGATGAAGTTTGCATCCCCCCCCCCCCCCGCCCTGCGTTTCTCTGTAAACCTAAAAGTGCAGCTTGGCAGCTTATGCCTCAGTGGCCTTTTAGCAGGCAATGTGGTATAAAAATGCTGACAGCAAAAGATGCCATAAGAAGTTTGTCTTCGTGAGACAAAGCATTGTCTGGAAAACTGTGTGCCCCTTTCGTCAAAATCTGTGCTAAGTTTGTTGCCAGGTGATGTGTATTTTGGGCCTTCCAAGGCTCGTGGATTCAGGCGGATTAGATCTCTCAAGCTGGGGTTGGAGTCTTCCACAGGCAGTTGGTTTTCTTGATCACTGAAAAAGCAGTGAAGTCTTCAGGCACCTTTCCGCACCAAGAAAGACATTCCTTGTGCCATAATTCTCAGCATGAGGTTTATGTCACCAAATGCATGGACTTTTTTCCTCCCTGGATAGAGGTGGTGGATGTGGAGAGGAAATATGTAAGCCATGGGGTCAAATGGCAATGAAATGCAAAATCTGAACCCCGTTCTGCTAAATTAAAGCTTAAATGTATGCTAACCAAGGCCATTCATGGGCTCATCAGGATGAATCTTTGGCTCGTTTTTGTTTTTGGGTTTTTTTGCATTTCTCCATGGGCAAAAGTGGTGTGGCACACCAGGAACATGGAGTCTCAGCACAAAACAGAACCTGAACACAGGTGGCCCTCGGTTGTATCTGCACTGTTTGTGCATGCAAGACAGGTGATCTGTCAAAGGGCCATAGCCATTCATACCTGTTAAAATAACATGACTGCACTCATGACGTCATGGGGCAGGTGACTTAATTAAGACGCCGTCTGCACATGGCATTTGTATGCCAGGCACGTAGGGAAATGGCACACCAGTCATGTCTGTCTGGTCATGGAATCATAAAACTGGAGAGGAGTTTTAGGCTGATCCAGGGTGGGCAGGCTTCGTTCTTTTACTAAAACGAAATAGTTATTCAGCCTGTCACTTAGCGTACCCCGTGAGACCAACTTGTGGAATAAATGGCACGTACAAGGCTTCATCTGCATATGAATTAGTGAAGTTCAGAGGTACCAACACAGTTCGAAAACTGCAAAAAACTTGGTCAAAGGCAGCAACTTTACTCATATTTTTGCAGGTGAGGAACACGGAGGCTGAGAACTAGCACAAGAGCAGTCTTAGAAACAGAACAAGTCAGAAGGGTCCCCCCAGGCCATATAGTCTGACCCCCGGCTCCAGCCGGCTCTGCTCACGACATGCCTACCATGTGCACGTCCAGCCTGTCTTTGAGCACCCTCACCGATGGGGCCTCAGCCACCTCCCGTGGAAGCCCATTCCACACCCTCGGGGTCCTGACTGTCCAGAAGTGCTTCCTGGCGTCCAAATGGAACCTTGGCTCCCTGAGCTTTGCTCCGTTGGAGTGCGTCCTGCCTTCCTCTGCAGTCTCTTTGCTACTTGCAGTTGTACTTGAGAGTCAAACGATCTGCTGATTGCCCGAGCTCTCAAGAGGTGAGCAACTTCTGCCCACCCTGATCTGGTCTGACTCCTTAAGAAATCCACCCCCCCCCCCCACCAGATGGCTCTTTCCTTAAGGATCTCCACACAGGGAGAATCCATCCCAGTGCTGAAAGTCTTATTAAGTTGCTTGCTGCGGATTCAAAGCAAGGCACTAGTGTTTGCATCCTGGAGCATCCCGTGAGTGACATGACCTCATTGATTGAGAACGTGTGTGTGTAGCTGATTGTGACTGTGGAGGTAATTGAGTGAAAGCGGTTCCATTGTGGCCGTGGCAAGTGCCAACCTCTGTGTGTGTGTGAGTGTCTGTGTGTATATGGGGGGGGGGGGGAGAGATTTGTTGTGCTGTCAAAGTTGGCTTATGGAGGGAAGGGGTTTCCGCTCAGTCCAAATGGATGATGCTATTCTGCACCTGCTTGAGAAGAAGTGCTTCTGCATGTGAAAGGACAGGTGAAGTCGTAAGAGGGGGAAATGGGGGATTCAGGGGGTTATTTTCCCAGCAGATGCAATGAAGAATGCTTCAGGCGGGAGGGGAATGCTTCTGCTCGCAGCATCAGCCATTCATTCTGGGATTCATTTTTATTTATTTATCATATTTATATCCCACCTTCTCCCATGGTGGAACTCAAGGTGGCTACATTTAGCTGCAGATGGTCTCCCCTCCAAGCTCAGGCCAGCATCAGACCTGCATGGAACAGCCCTTACGTGCCTTCAGACCATGTTCTGAGATCTTCTGGGAGGCCGCCTGGTGCAGGCATGGATGGTCTTCGAATAACTTGCTCCTGCATCTTGGATGCAGGTGCTTTTGGTGATAGACTGGTAGATCTTTGGGTAGATCTCCAGCTCAGCCTGGAAACAATCCCAAGCAACTCTTGAGACTCAGACAGAACAGCGCTGATGTTGCTTTTTGGTCAACCTGTAGGATTACTGAAGAAGATGGAAATTGAATTTGCAGTCGCTGCTTTCCAGATCTGATAGGGCTGCCATGGCAGGAATTGTCTGACCAGTCTCTTCCTAATGCTGAGGGGGATGGATTTACCTTCACCAGTAAATACCGGATCTCTTGGATTCCAACTATATACTGCTTACCAGATGGGCAACACGGGTTCCGTCCCATCTTTAGCTGGAACATGTGTTGGCTCTTGTAACAATATGGTACCTGGGACTGCACATTTGAGGGACTTTATTGGTTAAGTTAATGCCCTGCAGAATGGGTGGGGAAATCCTTCCAGCCTGAGGGTTGAATACAGTTTTGGAGAAACTCTCAGGACCTCCAGTGGAGGACGAGGACAGCGGTAAAAGGGGTGAGGACAGGATACAAAAAATACAAGCCATTTTTGCTTAAACCTCTTACTTCCTGTGACAAAGAGTTTGGAGAGGAATTTCACACTTTTGGAGTGGGGAAAACACATACCAAGGTAGGGAGACCACCAAAGGATTGGCAGCTGGGGGAAAGGCAGGTGGGGCTGGAGAAAGGGGATTTGGACCTCTGAAGAAGTCAGAAGGGCTTGAGTGAGCCCTCAACGGACCAGGCTGAGGCCCTGGTGCTGTAGTTCCCAATCCTTGGAGTAAGCAAACACCACATTCACCACATTCAGTTAAAATGCTTACATAAAATCTGTTCCTGGAGCATCATGGAATATTTTGGCGCCTTTCCTTGCTTTCTGTAACCAAGACTATTAAATTGCTTTTCTAATTGCCTGTTCCAAATAAAAATTAAGGGTTGTGCACAAATATGTTCTATTGTGTTAACTCTTGCTTTTGGCCTGCTGTTCTAGCTAAAATGCCAAATCTTGCCTGCTCAATGTCCCGGGAAGTTTTTCCTGTCAAAGTTCAGGAGGCAACATTCATGGACATTGACAAAGCAGGACTGTAAATTGGTTAATTTGATAATTTGCATTTTGCTTGCGGGGGAGGCATCTAGAAAAATAGCGATGCACAAAGGAGCCTTTCTCATGAAAAACATGCCAAATGCATCTCCCTCTTTTGGGCGCGATCCTCTAGCTTTTAAATATTGCCCTGACAGTTCTCAGTGCCCCCACCTTTTCCACACTTCTGCAGCCCCCTGAGAACCCCATCATGGGAGGTCCACGCCCTACCTCTCCTTCTGGGGGCATTTTCTTTTGACAGCTGGCAGCAAAGGGGGGTTTGTTTACAAAGGGTTGATTGGTCAGATTTCGTGGCTACATTCCACGAATCACCCACACTGTGGCTTATTCACAGGGTGGGTTGCCGTGTCCCACCCCCTAACCCAATATTGCATTTGCCTTTTGAAACTTTTCTTCCAAGGTGGATGGAATGCACTTACTGGCGAGTTGTTTTCCTGTGCTCAGTGAACTTCCCACCACCCATGCTTGGGTCTTGTCACTCTTTTGTTCTAGAAAAGCTGAAGCCTTCTTTGCTTCAAACGAGAAGAATGCAGATGGGCACTTACTGTAAATGTGGCATCAAAGGCTGGTATTAGCCGACTTGGCAGTCCGTTGACTTTCCTTGAGCTGGAAGCCTGTACTAGTCTCCAGATGAAATCGCTGCCAGTGTTAAGTCTTTCACTGGAAAGGGAAGGGAAGGAAAATAAAGCAGAGGAGAGGAGCAGAGCAGTGCAGTGCAGTGCAGTGGACTGGACGTCTGTGACTTAAATGGTGACTTCTTGTTAGGATTGCTTCTTTCTCAAGCACACTGCTGATAAGCTCAAGGCCAGCAGCTTTCCCATTAACTCAGGTCAGTGCAAAGCAGTGCAGAGGAAGGAGAGGTAGCTAGAATTGCAGTGGGGTGACGGAACAGCCAGTTTTGATTCTTCTGGAACGTATCTGAAAATCAAATGTTGGGAACATACGAGCTGTGCTGGATGATGCAAGGACCAGAGAGTCCTGTTTGCACCGTGACCAGCCAGCTGCCTGCAGGGACCCCCAGGCAGGATGGGAGTGCAGCAGCACCCCCTTGTTCATGCTCCCAGCAGCTGGTGTGCGCAGGGGTGCAAATGCGTGCCTGTGTGTCTTCTGGGGCACATACCCAGATTCCACACCCCCCCCCCCGAGGTTGCCAGCTCCTTTCCTGGCGAAGGCTCCTGTGCTTTTATCCACTGTGTGACTGGGAGACATGCCGTCGATGCACAAGTCCCTGCACTGCCCTATCTCTCCCAGCGGGCCCCTGGAGGTGTGGGGGTTTGGATTTGCTTTTCTTGGTTATGCTGCTATCACGGGATTCCAACCCCTGGTAATCCCGGCTCGTCTCAATGTACTCTCATGCTGCTGTCGTGTTTCTGCCCCCTTTCCCCTTCCTCTCCTTATTCTAGATCCACCGCGATGCTTTAGCTGCAGCATGTGGAGGAAGGCATGGCCGCGAGCGCCCTTTCTTCCGACTGAACGCGCACGCCAGGATGGCTGCCACCAGAGCCGCCTCCGTCGAGGAGAATGCTGGAGCCAAGCTGCTGTTGGTCCCGGACGGTAATCGGCGTTCGCTGGAGGAGAACGGGGCAGCTGACCAACTCTCTGAGCAGAGCGATGCTTTGTGTGCCATGCTGGAGCCAAATCGGCCTCAGGCCCCTGCGGGCAAGCTGAAGAAGACCGCCTTCAAGCTTTTCGGTGGGAAGCGGAGCATCTGTGCTCTGCCGAACTTCTTTGGGGGGAAAAGCAAAGGCCAAGAAAAGGGAGCCTCGAAAAAGGGGTTGAGTAAGAGCAAGACACACGATGGCATCAGTGATGTTGGGTATGAGGAGGCCAGCTCTGGGCGTCTTCGGAGCCCCTCAGATGGGGGGACGGACTTTCCTCCTCCACAGCTGTCCACCTCCCAGAGTGCTCACTTGGGAACAGTTGCTGGCCTGCGAGTCGGCTTTGTCCGGCAGTCAGCATCCCTCTCGGGGAGTTCTGAAGGCTTTGAGAAGAGGTCCAGCGGAGAGAAGTCCCTTTTTCTTCCCAGACCTAAGAAAGGGGGGCTGAGAGGCCTTTTCAGCAGCATCCGGCGCCACCGGAAGAGCAAAACTGCCGAGCCCGAGAGGACAGAGCTGCAGGAATGGGCTCTCAGAGACAGCGGGGCAGACGAGCAGGCCAGGCTGAACCAGCAGAATGGTGCCGAAACGCAGCCAGCCTCCAAGAAGGGGAGTCTGAAAAGTATCGCGCTCTGCTCAGAGCATCGGGAGGGGTGTCTCAGTGCTGCTTCCTCTGCTGTAGCATCAGGCGAGTTGACAGAGGGGGACCAAATGGCGTCCCCCAGAAGCAGTTTCTGTGCGGATGCAGCTGGAGGGACTGCTAGTTGTGAAGGTGCTGAAGGGATGGAGTTCGACACTGTCGATGGCGCCTGTGAAGACTCTGCTTTTTGTGACATTCCTGATGCTGTTGAGCCAGTTTTCCTGAGCAGCAGTCCTTCCTGCATCCCACCTGGGGACCCACTCAGCTTGATGTTTGGAGATGTCACTTCCCTTCAGAGCTTCGACTCCTTCACTGGCTGTGGAGACATCATTGCTGAACCAGATATGGACAGCATCACGGAGAGCTCCACCTCTGCAGAGCGCGGCAGGGATGCCACCAAGAGGAGTTCTTGCCTGGTGACTTACCAAGGTGGAGGGGAGGAAATGGCCATGCCTGATGAGATGGAGGAGTATCTTCAGCAGATGTGGGACGGTGCCATCAAAGCCGACGCCTCCTTTGAAACACACCTGCCAGAGCTCCTGGTGAACAGTGAGCTCCAAGGAGTGAGTGACACCAGGCCAGAAGGTCACCTCTATTCCGAAGGCACGAGGAACGATGTGGAGCTCTTAACCCCACACAGCGACCAACAAGAATCTGCTCCCAACAGCGACGAGGGTTACTATGACTCCACCACCCCGGGTCCTGAGGATGAAGCTGGCGATGGGCTGGATGAAATCCAAAGGGAACGTCTGCCACGGGACAGCTATAGTGGTGACGCACTGTATGAATTCTACGAACCCGATGATGCACTCATGAGCCCTTCTCATGGAGAGCAGTCCTGCTTTGACAGGGAAGTGACGTCTTCAGATATCTTCAGCCAGTTCTTGGACTTTACTGGCCCTGATGAGAAGGACTTGGTCCGGAAGTTGGGTCAGAAGAACGAAGTTATGGAAACAGAGGAGGAGCGAATGGCTGCCATTCAGAAGCAGCTGCTGTATTGGGAGCTGCAGAGAGAGCCGGCTGTGAAACACTTAGATAGGCGCAACAAAGACCAGCATCAGAGGGAAAAGGAGCACACGGAATGTAAAATGAGGGCAGCCAACACCGTTGGGAAGAGTCCGAGTTGCCTTGGTTGTGAGCAGATCGCCCCTCTTGCTTTGAACAGTGCCCTGAATTCTGGAATTCCAGCTGGAAACCAGGACTGGAAAGACCTCCAAGAGATGCTGTGCCCTGGAAAGCATTACAGTGGCAGTTGTGGTCCCAAACCATGTGAGGGTTGCCTTATTCGTCTTGTGGGAACCAGCTCTGTGGTAGATTCCGGCTTAGAGCACACGGTGCTTGAACCGTGTGCCTTAAGTGACTTGGCCCTGGAGAAGTCAGTGGCGTATCCTTTCTACCAAATGCGCAGCTGCCACAGCTGTCCCCCCGGTGAGCCGCTGGAGAGAACTGAAGCTGACTTTGTGGAAGCCCACCAGGAAAGCAAGCAGGAGCCAGAGCAGGTGGTCAACTTCTCCCAAGCGCTGGTGGAATTCACCAGCAGTGGGACTCTTTTCTCCAACCTCTCCGAAAGCCTCGGGAGCTCCGACTCAGGGTCTGCCTTCACTCAGAACCTTCCTGCCCTCCCAACCATGGTCACCTTTGACATCGTCGATGTCGAACAGGAGGGGGAAGGCGAATGTGAACAGCATCTGGAGATGAACACTGACGAGGACATCGCGGCGTCTTTCGAGGCCTTTGACGACAGCTCCGTTCCAAAAGAGTCCTTTGCCGAATGTGACGAGCGAATGTTCCCTGGGTTTTCCCAGAGTAATTTCCACAGCTGCAGCTGGGGTGTCGCCAGCTTGCCCCGCCGCCTTCGGCTTCAGGAGGTGAAGCTTCCCTTGCCGGAGCCACTGTCCACCTGCAGGAGAAGCCGGTCCCTGGACACCGAGAGTTTGGAGTTTGAGCTGGCAAGCTTGCAGTTGTCCAAGAATGGCTTTAAGCCGTGTGAGTTCTGGTCTCCATGGAGTGGCTGCAGGAAGGATCTGGATCCTCCTGGGTTGAATGTAGGCCAGGAAAGTTCTCCGTGTTCTCCAGAAGAAAGGGCAGGCAGTGTTGCCGTCCTCTCCTGGCCGGGACTATCGAATGTACCGTACGATGAGGAGTTCTCACAAGACATGAAACCACGGGGTCGTGATCCCATGGATGCCCCAGCCTTCCATAGCCCATGGGGTGTGTTGGCACAGCCAGATGGGGAGCCACCTTTCACCACCCTGGTGCAGAAGGAGCCTTCTGGGCAACCTCGCCCTGATGGAGGCAGCAGTCCGATGCCTCCAGCAGCAAGACCGGTGGCCAGGCCTTCCAATCTGCCTCTGCAGGGACCTCTTGCATCCCAAGAGCTTTGCGCCTCCCACAGGCCTGGCGGGGACAGTGCAGCTAAAAAGCTCGCTTGGATTCTCCCTTTGGGAGAGGACGGTGCCGGCTTGGCTCCGAACTTTGGGTTTGGTTGCTCTCCTGACAAGTCAGCAATATGTAAACCTGTGGATGCGATGCAAGGAATGTCGCAGCTTCACAACAAGCAGTGCTGAGGTCTTGGGGGTGGGGAGAAGGCTATGCATTGAGAGCCGCCGATTGGACGAAGCCCTTTTCCTGCAGTCAGAATGCCAGGATGAATGTACCAGTGGCCAAATAGCGGGGTGTGAAGGACTTGGGTCGGCTTTGAGAGGCAGAGAAGCCCGGCACGCAGATAATTTGATTTAGAAGTGTGAGCAGCAGTTTGGATTCTTGCTTCGGGGTGAGTGAGGCAGAGCATGTCTCATGGGACTTCTGTTCTGCTGCCCCTCGACACACTGGTTGCCCTTCCTCAAAAGTAATACAGAGTCAGCCTCCTGTGGCCAGAGCCATCATTACTGCCAGAGGCAAGACTGAAGCTAGGTCCTAGATAAAGAGGTCTCTGAAGTTTCCAGGTTGGTTTTCTAGTTCAAAGGGGCAAAAATAATTTCTGAACACCCAACTGGTTGGCCAGAGTTAAAGCTTTCTTTTGTTTTGAGGGTTCCTTTTTTTGCAGGGTAGTGGAAAAATGTAAATATTGCACCAACTTTGAAAACTGGAATGGATTGCCAACAGTAAAAATGGTTAAATGTTCTGTTTGTAATAGTACAACCCTGTGCAGGGCATCTAGGGCTTATTCTCAGACGTGTTTGTATAGCAGCCTTCCACAAGTTGGCGCCCTCCATATGGTTTGGACTTCAGCTCCCATCTGTCCCAGGTAGCAGGGCCAACAGTCACAGATTATGGGAGCTGTAGAGCAAAACATCTGGAAGGAACCAGGCTAAGGAAGGCCGGTGCATCAAATTTCAGCCACACTGTGCCGTTCTTTGAATGTTTACTTGGAAGTAAGTGCCACTGTGTTTTGTTGGGCTTACTCCCTGGTGAATTTATTGTAGGGTTGCCACTGCAATCCCTCGCTGGGTCGCATTTGTGGGGTGGTGTCCATGGCATTTGTGGTGTGTCGAGGGAGTCACTGGGAGTGGCAGAGCAAGAAGAAAGTGGGTAGGGGTTAAAATGGGGCCAAGGATGACCAAGGAGAAAGGGGTCTCCAAAAAGACCCTTGAGGATGCAGTCCAGTATATCTGCCCCACTGGAATTCCATAGGGCAGCCTCTGTATAGGCTTGTAAGTGGTATTGTGCATGTTAGGAACGGTGCTAGTGAGGAATCGAAGTGGCTGCAGAAATGCAAACTTTACCGGGATAAGGTTGAGTGCCTGTTTTAGAAAACTGGCTCTGCCTCAGTTTCCCCTTTTGAAAGACCGATATCTGTTCTTCCTGGTTGCGACTCCATTGCATTTGGTGGAATGTCAAATAGAATCATTTTGCCTTGAGTCCATCCATCGGTGGAAACGGGTGCAGAAGGAATCCCGGGCAAAGCCGGTTTTGACTGGATTGTGCGCTGCACCCTCCTTCTGTAGCCTGGTGCGAGAGAGCTGTCTGGGGATGATGGAAGTGGTAGTCTGAACACTTTGGGAGGCACGACGTTAGAAAGGGCTCCTGGACTGTCTGTCTGTCTGTCTGTCTGTCTGTCTTAGGGAAAAAGGTGCTATATGATGGTTTTGCACATTTTGATACGATGGAGTCTTGCTTTAATCTCGGTGGAAGGATTGGGCACTGTAATGTTACCCATCCTGGTATCTTTTAAATGTTTGGGGCATCAGTCCCATCTGGTAGATGGCCAGGGGTCAGGAACCTGGGGGTTGTAGTCCCAAACCTCTAGAAAGCACCAAGCTGAAGAAAGCTAAGATGCAACTTTGCCTGCACTGGGCAACTTCTCTCTCTTTTTCATGCATTTTGGGGGAAATTGAAACCCCCGTTGTCCCAAGCGCTGTGAGCAAATACAGCTTAACCTAACATAATCCAGCAGGAAGTTTTCCAGTTCGGAAGCCCCACTAGGAAGGAGCCTTGATCCGTTTAAAGCGAGGGTCCAGCTGAGTTTGACCAACATGCTTTCATCATTCCTGAGCATGCCAGGTGATGGCTGGGGTGATGGGAGTTCAGTCCAAGGCCGTTCTCCCTGGTATAAAGTATAGGCCTCTCTGTGGATTATCACTACCACGTTCCCAGGTGCGTGAATTCTGCAGGAAATATTCCTTGCTTTTAGTGGGGAAAAAAGAGCTATTTCTTTATATAGGCAAAAAATCTACTCGGATTTGCAACTGCAAAATGTCCATTGTTATCCACTCAGCCTGTAAAAGGGTGTGAAAAGATTCCCCTACAGCATTAACCCTCCTCTTTGAAGGGTTTTTCTTTGCAACCTGCTGGTTCCCTTCTGTCAGCTCACTGAAGAGTTGGAGGCTATGAATCCCACCTTGCTGGATGCTTACTGAAGTCTAATTTATGCTGTTTGGAGCATCATGTGCTAAAGCCACACCATTTCGGACTGCTGGTATGTGAAGGACTGTTTGCAAGCCTTCCTACTCCGAAACAAACCTCTTTCCTGCACAGAAAAATCGGCCAGGGATAAAGATCCGTGCTAGGCTTCTCCAGGAAATGGTACCTTTGTTTTTAATATATGGGGAGTACATTTTCTCTCTCTGTGGTGGATCATTGAAATATCCACTCCAGCTGCTCTCTTCTATCACCACCTCATCTGTCGAACTAATTTTCACTCAGGTTCTCATTTTTCCACTGCTTAAGTTTGTTCTGTCTTGTTTATTGGATTGCAGTTTTTAGATTTAACATAGCATTTCGTACATAGTTCCACGTGCATTTTTATTAAAAATACACTATTTTTGTACACATAGTTTCAGTGTGCACAGTTGCTCAAGCATAAAGTGTGTGTGTGTGTGTGTGTATTTCCCACAATGTGACCTCAGAGTCAAGCTACAGGCTCCAACCTGCTCTGCTGCAGAAACCGAGGCAGACCTGGTGAGTCCTCAGCAGGGCTGTTCATTGTCACAGTCCCTGTCCTGTTCTTCAGAGTACCTAGAACCTGGTCCTTCCAGAACACATCCCTGCAGGGCAGTTGTGCTTCGTTCTGCTCGGTCCAGAAGTATCCAAGCTTCGTGTCACCTTCCTCAAGCTGTTGGACCCTCTTCATCTGGGCTGGCTTCTGAATACTCGCCTAAAAGCTCAGTGGAGTTGCTTGCGGTGCATGGCCGGGTGAGACCCCACACGTCTTGGATCGCCAGCGTCGTGGTGTAGAGATCTTTCAGCTTCAGTTTTCGGTCTGTGCGTCTTGAAGACCCATCCGGCCAAGTGCAGCTTGGCGGCCATGTAAGGCAGTCCATCGGGATCGATTGGCCCCCTGTTTGGAGCTGTCGGAATACGAGGCTTGTGAAACGTTTGCCAAGCAAGTGCGTGCCGCCAGCGGGCTTCGTCTGAGCCGCGGGTTGTGGATGTGGTGACTTGGCCTGCGCTCCTCTCCATGTTCCATGGCTGCTGTTAACAAGCCCGAAATCTCGAGGATCACAGTGCCTGCACTTTGGACAGATATTCCCAGTCCGTAGCTTTATGCTTGCCTTCTCCGAACTGGTGTCTTCCCAGTATGCTGGACTAGAACCTCCTGCTTCCCCAGCTGGGAGGGCTGGCCTGAGGATTGGGGATTTCTAGTCCAGCACATATGGAGGGTACCAGGGTGGGGGAAGCCTGCGCTGGGTTAGGCGGGTGGGTGCGTGGAGGTGTTGCCAAGCAGTGTGACGTGTGCTGATTTGGCGGGTGGGCAATGTGTCTGCAAATGTGTGTGTGCTAGCATTTTGGTTCTACATATTTAATGGATTTTTTAAAAGAGAAAAAATTATCCTGTGTACAACATTTTGGCACTGCCTCGGTCACCGGACCTGTTTCCAAAGGGGTTTCTGATGTTTGTATCACTCCCTGTGTTTAAGAATAACTGTGTGATTTTCTGTGTGGGTGAAGACCAAGAATTGGCACATAGAAGTGATGGCGGGCCCAGGAGGTTGAAGAACCGTGGCAGGCTGGCTGGTTTTGACTGCTCGAGAGCTGAGTCTTGCCCTTTCCATGGCTCGGGTGCTTGGACTCTTCCACTTGGGTCATTTCAAGACATAGAAGGTAGACAGGCCCCTGGGTATCTGCCATGGGACATGAACTTGGTGGAGCTTAGTTGGAACAGGATTCTTCCTTCTGTCCCCAGAAAGGGTCCAGTCATCCTCTAATACCTCCCCGTCTTCCTTCTGCTTCCTCCCAGCCTTGCTCTTAACCTAAACACGTAGGTTGTAGCCATGAAAATGGCCCATGTGAAGAAACTGCTGTGTTTACTCAATTTCCTGACGCCAGCAGAATGTTGCAACGGTAAAGCTGAAACGACGTTTAGTAAAAATTCACCGGAGAAGCAGTCACAAAATCAGAGAGCAGCTTGGCAGCAGATCACAGAAACATGCAGAAGTCCTCCCTGGATTTTAGTGGCGGCTTGGAAGGAAGTAGAGCGACTTCTGTAGCATCCTTGCCAGTCGCTCGAGGATCTGTGTTCAATGCTGAGCTCTCCTGTAGCTGTTGGTGGGTGCATCGCATTCATAGCCTGTTGAACCGGTCCACGCACAAGATTCGTGGGCCATCACGTGCGTGCAAGGGGAGCTTCCTTTGGAGCCTCTTTGGGGCAAGGCATGGCACGCCCACCTCTGGTGCTGTGCCGTGGCGAACAGCAGCGTGCACTTCGGCTGCTTCTCCATGTGCAGGGCGCAGCCTGCATCCCCAACAGGGTCGCGCTGCTGTAACTTCCCCTGCCCAGGAGTCCTCATGCAGTGCAAGCTGGAGCATGCAGTTCCGCTCCGTTGCGAGCCTGAACATGCTGGGTAGTTTGGGCCGGGGCCCATGAAACATGCTCCTCGTTTGGATCCAGGAGCTGCCGCTTGTATTAACAAGGCTTAGAAAGGTGGCACCCTGCGGGCCGCTCCCTGCGCCACCATCCACGTCGTGTTTGCAGCTTCCGTTTGGCGCGTCAGCCACTGATAGGCCAGGTCATCGGGTGCTCTGCTTGTCCTGCGTTGTGGTTTCTTTTTCGATACATATAAGAAGTTCAGTGTTTATTTTTGTATGGGGTTTTTGTTGTTGTGTTTCATATACATTTATGGGAAGATCTTAAGGGCTGTTCTTTGACGAGTGTGAGGCGTTCTAAGAACTGCTTGATGAGGATGCAGTGGCTGCTAATTG